CAAAGCAGGGGAGTTTTCACAACAACTGCGAGAACAGTCGTGTTACACCTATCTGATAAGCAATTATTGAGCATAAACTATACGCTCCCAGCGCTCCCAGTGGGCAAATTCGGGCTCCCTGTTATGCAGGTACAGTATTTGTCTTCCCACTTAAAAAAATAAATGACATGTACGCACGAACACAACGTCACGTGAGACGTTTTTGCACTTGGCCGTCGCAACCACTATCTCGCTGGACTCAGGCGCCTTACATTAAATTTCATCATCATCCGTGTCTGCGCTACAGTGGTTATAGCTGCAACAGTCTGGTTCACCGAGGATTTGGGGAGACGTCATTTACGGGTCCGAAAATGATCCAGCCGAGCAATGTTCGATTAGCATAAGGCTAAGGTGGTCTTGCCTTTCGGCTTTCCAGCATCTAATATGACAACGGCATGTCCATCCAGGTCAAGAGGGATATTGGTTGGCTTCTGGCTGTTTCAATGTAGTCCCATTTAGACTGGTGCTGTCTTGTTGGTAGCGTCTCAGTGACTGACGTAACCTGGTCTATGCCTAGAGAGATTGCGGCGTCTCAGCTGGCAGCGACGTAGCTTCTTCAGAACAGACCCCACCAGTTAACACCTTCTGACCGTGGGAATCTATTATTAGTAGGCCGTCCAATAGCTTGAAATTTAAAGCGATAGCTAATTTCAGCATCCTAGAGTCGGAACCGCTGTCACGAAGTGCGTAGACTCTACAAACTCCATGGGGACCGCAGAGGTTTACAGGCAGTACACCCAGCACAACGGAAGTTCGAATGCACAATCCGCTGGAGCAATCGACGCTGAATCTTGAGGAGGCAACCTTCGTGGCATGCTGGTCCCACTGACTTAACTGAAGTTCAAGTGGTTGAGTGGAGTAATGCTTGGTTGGGTCTTCGCAGCCATTGAGTCCGCGAAATCCTACCGATCTTCACTGCTTGGAGTCATGTCTTGGCTTGAATAAAAGTCCGCAAATTACATCTAAGAAGACGGAGATCTCGCGCGCATAAGCACCCAGGCGGACGAACTGCGCGCATTGATCGCTTTGGCGCCCTTCGCCACAGTGTAAGCACGGACCAAACACTGTCGTATTGTCCCCTATCGGTAATCCATTTAGCTGCAGAAGTCGTCACGAGTGTGGAGAACCTTGGAAATGGTGTCAGTGCGAAGCTCCAGGAGCGTCCTGATCTTCTGATGCTCGGTAGGGAAGAGCTTAGCAAAGTAGGGCTCTTTAATGGATAATGAATCCGCTGGGTCTTAAACATAATCGGTGAAATCAATGAAACTCGGTTCTTCTCGGGGATTCCTGAGGCCCGGTTCAACCACTTCGATTGAATGGAGGTAGGTAGACGATTAAGAATGGCACCTATAGCCATTCGGGTACTGAGCTCAGATTAATCACTCAACTCTGAAGGAACTAATTAACAAGCCTTCATTGTGTTGGTACCTTCAGTATAAAACTGGCATCACTTGGCTTTATTAGTGGCTCGGTGGTGATAGCCGCGATGTGCTCCCTTGCGATAACCGAAAGACTGATAAACCTACGACCAAGGATCTTTCAGGTTTCCAGATAGCCGTATTCCGGTTCTACTTTCGCAAGGTGGTTGACTGCTTTCCGGGCGTCACCTTCGCATGTATTCATCAAGAAAGCCTGACAATTAGCGGGACCATTTACGTGTTTGGCGATCCCCCATTAGAAAATTCCACTACTGTAACGGGTAAATGTTAAGCCTGGGTGTTCTCCTCTAAGACATACCCACGCAGGGGTTAAGTAGCTCCGGGAGATTTTGGTAAAGCAGAGATCCCGAGGGTGGGTTTTTCGAAAGTATCGCACTGTAGTTTGGAGTAGCCGCCCTTTCCTGTTTTTTAACCTCGATGCATTTGTGTTGAACTCCAGCAAAACGATTTGAACCGAGACAATAGTACAGAGAAGCAGTTTGAAAGCTATGCAAGTGTTTTCCATTTGGGTGGTTTATTTTTTTATACGGGCATAAAATGTGAGTCAGGCTTCAGGATTTAGTGGTATACTCTATCACATAAACTTTGAAATTACAACCGATGAACAAATTAGGTTGTTAACTACCACCTCCTATGGTGTTCTTTTTTTCTTCGTCCCTAGGTGGACGTACGGGCCTCTTTTGGACCAACTTCACCCCATGAATCCTCTTGTCCACATTTGTTTGCAACTTCTTCATACATATTGGCACTGTGATCAGGTTACTCACAAATTTTCATCCAGGCGTAGAAAGGCGCGGTCGTTTTATCATTGTACATGTCTAGAAAAGCGGGTAGAGTGGAAAAAAATCATTTGATTTCCGTTGGTAGCCCCTCCTTAGACTAACCCGTGGCTTACATCGACCGCGGTATGGCGAACTAGGCCACACCGTCCTGATGATGACTCGCCAGTAATGGCGCATAAACCACCGTTTACCCTTAGCTGACTAGTAGCAATTGATCCAATGGGCATCCAGTGTTGGATGTACTGGACAGTCGCCAACGTTGTTGTGGGTTATATGTTGGGTGCTTGTAATTCAGAGTGCACATTCATAATTAATTCCTCCAATACAAGGAATTTCCGAGTGATGTGGTTTTAGTCTCCCAATGCACAGAATGCTGCCCAGATCTTTTTCTCTTTTGATGACGCCATTTGAGATTCCATAAAATCTGTGGTGAATGAGGCTAACAAGATATATTCCGATTGAGCCCTCAGAGCCAGTCAAAACACTCATGTCAGTGGTGTGCTTAGTATCCATCCTTGAGAAGGCCCTTGATTTCAGAAAACAGTCGTAGTATCATCCATTCAGATCCCCCAAAGCGCACACATTGCCAAAAGTGTCCTTGCGCTTTCATCAGGATTTCACGTACACACATAGCACCGAAATCGGGAAAACTTTCGGCAATAGCTCTGCATACATTTCTATGAAAACTGCAGTTTATTCGGCTGGGCTTAATCAGATCAAAATGTCATGATGTTGGATGCGGAATGGCACTGTGCGAAAACTTGAGCTATTCTTATGACCTGGCTGTGATGACCGGAAATGTGGTCGATCCATACCCACTGTTTTACCTTAACTCGTAAACATTGGGCGATGGCGTGACTTAGATCTCTCACCTCTCATCATGGCGAACGCAAAGGCCACCTTGAATGCTAGTCTTAACTGGTAGGTGCAAGTCGACCTCTGGCCGACCGTTGTTCTCGAGGTGGTTTTTTCACCTCACTTTGACACCACCAGTAGCTAAGATGGGGCAGCCTGTGGCTCCGTAGGTTGTTCCTATATAT